TTTTTTGTGTGTGTGTGTGTTGTTTATATATATATATATATATATATATATATATATATATATATATATATCCACATGAGTGTGAGGGGAGAGTTAAGGGTACATTGTGTTATGGCCACTGGCTTATAGAATTATGGATTCTGAGTATGCTACAATATGCCATCTGCAAAGTAGAGGACTGGAAAGCCAGACTGTAATTAATTCAACCTGAGACCAAAGGTTTGACATCCAGTGTATAGGGACCCTTGGGGAAGGGGCAATCCTGGAGGATGGGGTCGAGGCAAAAGGTCAAGGACCTGTACTGTGATGTCTGTGGGCAGAAGATGAGTGCCACAGCCTGGAAAGGAGAGTGAATTTTCCTTCTATCTATTGGTCTATACCAGTGGATTATAACCAGAAGGGTGGAGACCCCTTTGTGGGGGAGTCACTTCTCAGATATTCTGCATATCAGATATTTATGTTACAAATCATAACAGCAGCGAAATTACAGTTATGAAGTAGCAACGAAAATAATCTTATGGTTGGGGTCACCACAACATGAAGAACTGTACAAAAGGATCACAGCACTAGGAAAGTTGAGAACCACTGCTCTATATGGTTCTTCAGTGGGATGGATGGTGCCACCACCCCATGGAGGGTGCGTTGTCTTCCTGGGGCTACTGATGCAGACAACAGTGCCTTCTGGAAACACCATCATGGAAGTATCCAGAAGTCATATTGTATCCGCTACCTGAGCATCTCCTAATCATAACACACATGACTCCTGACAAACCATCCCAGGAGGTGACTGCTCCTGTCTTGTTTGTAGGTCACCCCCACCGAGCAGGGTCTGAGGGAGGTGACTAAGCTGGTGGCCACCTACCCCCAGGGCTTCATGACATGGATGGGACCCATCCTCCCCATAATCACTCTGTGCCACCCTGACATCATTCGAGCTGTCCTCGGTGCTTCAGGTACTCAAGGGATGCTGGTGGCAGTGTGGCTGTGGGAGACGGAGGGCTTCTAGTCTCCACCTTCATGCTTCTGTGTGATTCCTGGAGGAGCCCAGTCTTCTTTCTCTTGGCTTTCTCCACTTTTCACTGGAGTTGTCAGGAGGAAGCCCAGCAAGTCTCAGCACAGAGGATGAGAGTGTGCTGGAGAGAATTCCCAGGGCTGACTCTGGCCTCCTACCTTGGTAGTTGTTTTGTTGGGAAGGTTAGAGGACGTGGGGCCCCTTTCTTCTCATCTCCATTCAGAGCTAAGAGGAAGGTACCCTGTGCACCCATGGCATGGTGAGCACCACTGTGAGTGTATGCTACTGGTGGGTGGAGACCTGGCAGATGCTTATCTATATCTTCCACCAAACCTCAAAGAGACTCCTGCTTTGCCACCCAGGTGGACATTGGACTAGCCTGTTTGCCCACTGCTCAGATCTCTGTGCTGCCACAGTGGGGCACACGACCCGATGCAGGCAGATGGGGTTCTGGTGACTCCCCTGCCTCTGCCTCCCCTGTATTTCAGTATGAAACTTGAAAGCTGTGGCTACCTCCTAATCACCCCTGTTATAGCAGCTCTTTTTGTTGCTATTGTTAGCACAGCTCAAATGAGGAAAGATGGGTTTTGACTTGTGGTTCGGAGTCCATCATGACAAAAGAGAGACAGACCATGTCAAGAAGGAGGGAGGAAATGGGGGAGGAAGGAACGAAATTCAGTAGGTTTCCAAGGGCTATTCAAATGACTTCTCTCCAGTTAAGCTCCACTTCCTAAGATTTCTAGATCCTTCCAAAATAGAGGCAGCATCTGAGGACTAACTCTTTTAAAACAAAAGGTTGGGGTGTTTCATACTGTCCCAGCTATGAACCAAGTGGGAGGTTATTTGGCATTTGTTGCCTAGAATTGGACTGAAACAGAAATATAGCTGACTTCTTTTGTTTGACAAAGGTCTGATGTCTGATTAGACCCCACTCATCCATATCTGTGGGGTCATTGTGACTAGTCTAAAATCTTGCCTGGGACCTGCCTATGGGGCACACTGAGATGCAGCAGATCGCTTCTGTCCGTTTTGCAGCAGATGAGGTTGTTTCAGCCATGTTAGCCCATGTTAGCCCATATATGTCCATGACACATGTCTATGTCAGGGGATGTCACAGCATGCTGGGGCAAACAGCCAAGCTCACTCTGTGGAATGTTGTATTGCACTTGAAGGGTGGACATGGTGGTAGACCGTGTTGTCGCCAAGTGAAGGGATGGAGAAGCGAGTTGATGCTGTCTCATCCTGTATCCCATTTCCTCCTCCTTTCTGCTTCCTATGTCCATTTCTCTAACCTGCCATGCTGGGTTTGGGGCAGACATGAGCACACCTCTCTGCAAGTCCATCTCCTTGCCTCTCCATGGCCCTTGATCATCCTTGTTCATGACAGCTGCAGTCGCCATCAAGGAAGTAGTCTTCTACACTTTCCTGAAACCCTGGCTGGGTGAGTAGCTACAGATGAAGGGCCTAGAAACATCCTCGGGGGTGGGGTTGGGGAGACATGCCACCATTGCTCACTGCCATGTTGCCCTACCAGGGGACGGGCTTTTGCTGAGTGCTGGTGACAAGTGGAGCCGCCACCGTCGCATGCTGACACCTGCCTTCCATTTCAACATCCTGAAGCCCTATGTGAAGATATTCAATGACAGCACCAACATCATGCATGTGAGCGCCTGGTACCCAGCTTCCCAGGGAAGGGACTTGGCCTCAGATAGATCTGGTCTCTACTCTAAAGAGTGGTGCTGGGGCCATATTTTATATTATTTTCCTCCTGATTTTGTGTCCCAAGTGACATTATAGAGCCATGTCTTCTTATCTGGTGAGTGCTTATAGAGTTGGTTTCTACTTTTATCAGATGGTTGCCCTGAAAACTAAATGCAGACTGGATGAGGACTACATAGAAACTACCAAAAAGGAGCCAGGCACTGACGCACACATAGTTTGGGAATAGTGAGATCTGATGTTGCTGATAGCGGTGTAGATCAGGGGGTTGGTTTTTCCGAACAGGTTTTGGGTCACTCGTGGCACATGATAAACTGTGGCTCAGCTTGCCCGATACCAGCATAGTTCTCTAATGGAACTTGACTTACTTCAAGGTAATTTAGTGTGGTCTCAGAAGGACAGACTGGACTCAATCTGTAAGCTTCTCTCTCTCGACAGGGCATCCTGGGCTTGTACCTATGGCACACATTTCCATAGGAGGGAAGCTGGGAGTCACTTGAAGCTTGGGTTTCATTGAAGTTGTAGATTCCCCCTTTTTCCTAGATTATACTAGTCATAGTCATAAACCTAACACAAAAGAAAGGATGGTAGAATAGGCTCAACTTTGTAATAACCATTGCTGAAAACTCACACTACACTGGGCTGAAGAACAAGATAGGCACAGGGGTGAGTGTCACATGAAGGGCCAAGCTTTTCTTTTCTGCTTACTAGCTGGTTGCTCAGCTCCTTTGCTTGTGGATTCTGCCAGACCACACAAGATTCCTTGTTCAAAACAAAAGGTCAGCCAGCTACTGACTGCATCCTCCTGTCTTCTGGTGTTTCTCGAAAGTCTCTCAATCCCATGGGGTATCACAGGTGGGCTTCGACAGATGCAACCCATGACCTAGGTTGCATTACTTAGTTTCAGGGAATCTGTTTTTTCAGAAGCTAAGCCAAGCTTGATATTCGTCCATGAGGAGTCATCACTGGACGTATCAAGGGTTTCTGCAAGTACCTATGAAATAGTCCAGGTTAAGAACACTGGGATCATCTGGGGAATGGTGGAGCACGCCTTTAATCCCAGCACCCAGGAGGCAGAGGCAGACAGATCTCTGTGAGTTCAATGTCAGCCTTGTCTACAGAGTAGGGCTACACAGAGAAAACCAAAATGCAAAAAAAATAATATTTGGATGGTTTATGCTTGGAATACTTAGTAAGAATGCCATAGTTGACATAGAGAAAGCTTTGAGCCCAAGTAATGACACTCAAGATGAAGAATAATGCTATTTATTGCATCCATAACATGTTCTAGAACTGAGGGTCATGACCCAATTCCATAATTTATGCTGCAAATTCAATTTTTAACAACCCGTGAGATAGAGGTTACTTTTTCCTCATTAGGACAAACCTGAAATGTAAAGCATAAAGGAATTTGTCCCACTATGCTCAGATAGTAAGTGATCTAGAAAGAGTGGCACATGGGTTCCATCATGATTTATCAGACACAATCAGATCAACTTGTTCCTAAAGGCACGGCATGTGAAAGAGAGAGCAATAAGCTGACTGAGGGTGTACAGAGCATGGGTATCAGAGATGAGGCTGAAACTTGGGGCTTCGGATCCTTAGCCTTGGTTCTTCATCTCCTACATAACAGTTTCATTCTCACTCAAGCCTGGTTATCCCTGGGGTCAAGTGTCTGGGGCAGAGACCTGGGAGGCTGCTTTTGGGTATCCATTCCTGTGGCTGTGATTGGGCAGAGTCTCCAGCATCTGAGGCCTGCTTATGATACTGTTTCTTTTCTGTAAAGGCCAAGTGGCAGCGCCTAACCTCAGGTGGCAGTACCCGTCTGGACATGTTTGAGAACATCAGCCTGATGACCTTGGACAGTCTGCAGAAATGTGTCTTCAGCTTTGATAGCAACTGCCAGGAGTGAGTTCCTCCCCTTGGCCTGAGAATGTGGAATATGAACCTCAGAGAGGAGGGGCAAGAGTGATGGCTGATCAGTGAGAAAAGAGGGGGCTCCCTGGAGGAGGGGATTTAGAAGATCAAGGGATCCAGATGTAAATCTGGCACCTTAGACATGAGATAGGCAGGTTGACACTTACTAAATTAGGTACATTAGAGATACTTTCCTCATTTGCTACAACAAAGTAACTGATAAAAGCAACTCAAGGAAGAGTTTATTTTGGTTCAAGTTGCTTCTTTTCTGGCAACAAATTTGGCTTCTTCCTTCCTGTGTCCTAAGAGCTTTTGTGGGGCTGAATTAAAAGATGCTAGACCTTTTGCATGAAGAAAATTTCAAAACATCAACTCCATCACCGCCATGAAGGTAGGGCAGCAGACTGGCTACACTGTGTCTGCAGTCAGGAAGCAAAGAGTAATAAATGTTTAGACTCAACTATTTTTGCTTTTTTGTGTGTGTAGTCTGAAACCCACTTCTCACTGTATATATGAAAAAGGGTAGAGAGCAGTAGCCATCCCATATACTGAATGCTATGCTGTCTTGAAATTTTCTTCATGCAAAAGGTCTAGCATCTTTTAATTCAGCCCCACAAAAGCTCTTAGGACACAGGAAGGAAGAAGCCAAATTTGTTGCCAGAAAAGAAGCAAGCATGGATTCTATACTCTAGCTCCCCCAAAAAAGAAAACCCCACATGATCTAGGACTCCATTATCTGCATTTCTTTTTGATATTGGGGTCTACCAAACTCCCATCAGAATTTCCACTTTAAATTCCACTTACAGAACTGAAGGGCTTTTCTGGTTCAGCATTTCAAATCCTTGTACAAACAAGTTTCAAAGGAGTAAGAACCACATGTTCGGGATTATTTCAGTTATGAACCCACTTCTGGTAACAATTTACATATTACTTGTGTTTCTTATTGATACAACAAAAAGTAAATAGGAAGGATTGTTCTGGGTTAAAGTCGAGGGGAATTCCATCATGATGGGGAAGTCACAGGTGTAGGAGTGTGAGGCTGATGGTCACATCACATCTGCAGTCAGGAAGCAGAGAGAAATGAATGATTATGCTCAACTAGGTTTTGTGTCATCTGAAACCCCCACTCATGGCGTAGTGATCCCTTATTAAGGTGGGTATCACCTCCTCAATTAACCCAATGTAGAGAATCCAGATCTGCTCAGAAATTTGTTTACAAGGTGATTCTAGATCTTGTCAAGTTGACAACCAGTGTACACCAACATAGTGGCTAAACCATGAGGACACAAAAGCCACACAGAGGTAGGAACTTTCTCCTATAGTTTCCACCAAGAGTGTTTGTACTTGTAGTCACTTCTGTTACTGTGCCAACCTTTCTGAGGGTATTGACTTAATCTGAAGATGGGTTAATTGTGACTCATAGTTTCAGAGACTTTTGGTGATGGTTCTTTGACTCCATTGTTGTGGTGGGAGCAGGTGTTAGGGAAAACATTTAATTCATGGCAGTTGGGGAAAAGAAAGACTGGAAAGTGTGAGGGTTCTAATGTCCTCTACAAGGCACACTTACAACGGCCAAGCCAGCCTTTATTAGGCCCTATCTCTTAATGGTGCTGCCACTTGCTAATAAATCCAGAGATGAACATTTGGGAGAAAGTCTCAAATCACAGTAAATGGACATGGCTGTATCAGAGATCTGTAGACATTGGTTGTCTTGTAAAAAAGTTTGAATTGTCACTGAACGTAGGGACCCTCTAGAAAAGATTGGGTAACTGGAGGAAAACGAGTTCTTCACTAGTGCAAAGTGTTGGGAAGTGGGTGGGTCAGAACTAGATTTAGGGTAAGAGAGAAAAGAGGCATGATCTCTGCTGCACTCTAGATACTGAGCTCATGAGGATGGGATAACTATGCGATCATCTGTTTCTGACTACTGTGCATCCTGTTGGCGAGTAAATTCCCATGTGTTGCCGAGAGGCACTTCTTGGGCTTCAGTTGTGTTGAGTTGTGCTGCTCTACTTCATGCTCTTCTCATGCAGGAAGCCCAGTGAGTATATTTCCACCATCTTGGAACTCAGTGCTTTAGTGAACAAACGGTACCAGCAGCTGCTTCTACACATAGACTCACTTTATCAGCTCACCCCTAATGGGATGCGCTTCCATAAGGCCTGCCGTCTGGTGCATGACTTCACAGATGCTGTTATCCAGGATAGACGACGTGCTCTCCCCAGTAAGCATGGTGATGATGTTCTCAAGGCCAAGGCCAAGTCCAAAACTTTGGACTTCATTGATGTGCTGCTGCTGGCCAAGGTGGGTTCTCAAGAGGTGCAATGGAACTGTTTAAATTTAATTCAATGAGTGTGATGCGCTTATCTTTAATTCCAGCACTCCAGAGGCAGTGGCAGGAAGAGGTGGAGGCCAGCTTGGTCTATATATTGAATTCCAGGCCAGCCAAGCTATGTGGTGAAACCCTGTCTCAATATAATTATTAACTAACTCACCAAATAGCTGTTTTTGTGTTTGTGGGGGTAATTTTCAGATAGAGTCTCACTAAAGGGCCCTGGCTGACTTCAGCCTCATGTTCTTCTTGCCTCACCTTGCACATTCTGGATTACAGCTATGTACCACATCACTTAGGTCTGGTAGCAGTTTAAAGATCAGTCTCACTCTATTGCCAGTGAGGGGATCCTCCTGTTCCAATTTTCCAGGTCATGGGACTCATACAAAGACCCATACATTACGAGTCTTGCAAGTTTCACAGTGGAGTTGGCACTTCCGTGTCTTCTTTGTGTCAGGGTATATAACTAGATGGGAAAGGAGAGAGAGAGCGCCAGAAAGCATGAGGTGAAATGGAGGTAAGAAGAGGAGAGGGGAGTGTATGCAAGAGTCAGAGAATAAGAGAGAAACGGGAGGAGAGGACATTGTAAATTAATTTTTAGTGTGCAAACTAACTCGTTTTATAATGGCATTTTCATGAACATATAATTTAAATGGAGTTCTTACTTGATCTAAGTAATAAAAACCCAGAATCAGATATAGAGGAAAATGCTGAGAGATCAGAGAGAAGGAGCAAACCACAGCCACACCTTACCTCCTTAGCATATAGGCAAAAAAGAGAGCAAATTCCTGTTTCCACCCAGCTACATCACTTCCTGTCTGTCTGTACAGACCTCCAGACCTGTATGGTTAGCTAGTGGCAAACTCCATTCTCTGACCTTCAGACAGGCTTCATTTGTACAAGCAACATAAGACCACATATAATTCTGCACTTTGAGAGAGGACTTTATTCTGGAATGTAAGCAAGTTTTCTCTAATCACAGGTAAATTCTACAGGTGTGTAAGCCTAAGATCCTCCAGAGGAGATACCATAAATTTTCTGCGTGTAGCACCCAAGAATGGAAGAAGAGAGTACAGGAGGAACTGGGGTGCAGGATAAAGTGTCAGGGGAGGAAAACATATGAAAACTATTGAAAGTGAAAAGAGAAAGAGGAGGAGAAAGCTAGTTCCTGGTCCTATGTAAGGAGACATATTTGCAGTCACACATTTGTCATATCGTCACTGCTTTTCCTCTCAAACCAACAATTTCTGTCCCAGAGTGTGCAATATTTTACTTGCCTACAAGGTAGACACTATTCCTATCAAACAATTATGGAAGAACTGATAGAAAGTGTTCCACATCCCTCCTAGGAGAAGATACAATGTCTTGAGGATGACACTTATTCTCCAAATTTGGAGAATTGAGGATGACACTTATTCTCCAAATTTCAAAGGAATACTGCCATGCAATCTTGCTATGTGCAAAGCTACTCGTTCCTTTATTTCCTGGAAATCTCTCATCATAAAGAAATTGGAATATATCCATCATTCACCAATGCCTCCAATCAGGAAAGCAAACAAACAGGAGGCAGGACAGTCAAGAAGTTTCCCTGGGGGTGGAGACCTATGGATGGCAAGAACAGATGCAGAGGTGCAGTGGGCTTGGTGTAGGGGTCTAAGCGAGCTGTCTCAGTTTGACGTAGACTCAGAACCGCTGTGATCTGGTGTCTTGCCTTGCCTCCAGGATGAAGATGGAAAGGAGTTGTCAGATGGGGACATCAGAGCAGAGGCTGACACCTTCATGTTTGAGGGTGAGGGTCCCAGCGTGGGACTACAAGGGAACCAGGACTTCTTTCAGGGACATGTTGAAGAGACCCTGAAATCCCACTATCGTCTTTCTTCCCTTTTTTCATCCTTCCTGGGGTCCTCTTGCCTGACTGCTTTGTGGTGAAGAAGTAGTTCTGAAATTCAACCCCACCTGTCTGCTCTTCAGGCCATGACACCACAGCCAGTGGGCTCTCCTGGACACTGTACAACCTGGCGAGGCATCCAGAATACCAGGAGCGCTGCCGGCAGGAGGTTCGGGAGCTGCTGAGGGACCGAGAGTCTCAGGAGATTGAGTGGTGAGCACAGGTCCTGGTGTGCTGCTGGACGCTTCTCTTGGCTCCACTCCTCGGGTGGTGAAGGAGTTCTTTTTGCAGCTACTTGCATTTCTGCTTCTTAAGAATAGTATAGACCTCATTAAAAAGAGGAGGTTTTATGCTTTAGGAAAGAAAGACTTGAACTTCCAAGAGAATTACTAACAATATAATAGTGAATAAGGGCAAATGATGTCACTTTGCAGCTATTCAGTGTATAGAAACTTTCCCTCCTTGTTCCTCCTTGTCTCATACTTTCAGTGTCTTCCCTCCCTGACTGTTTGTTATACTGTTTCTTATTTCCTGCCAGAATAGGAATTCATAAGTGGCACATGGGGCAAAAGTCATTGTCAGTGTGCTATGCCATTGGTTGCATCATTCATGCATCCGTTCAGCAAAGCCTCCCATAATGCCTTCCATGGACAGTTTTATGAGCAGCTGTCCTGTGCAGCTGAGGGAGGTGCTGTCAGGAGCTCCAAGCCTGAAGGGAGAATGGTCCTGCACAGTATACCCCTAGGACACACTAACAGATGTGAGGGTTAGAGTAAGAGAAGCAAGGTTGGGTTAAAGGATGCATTCACTCTAGGACTAGGACATACCTGGTTGGAACTGAGGTACAGGGCTATAGATCCAAGGGAGGAGAAGTAGAGGTGGTGGAAAAGGGTGGAGACAAGAGATGGAGTATTGTGTGACTTTTCTAGGGGAGATGGGAACAAATTCCTGTTTGTCATCCTGGGCACAGACCAAAGAAAAGATTCCATGAAAGGCCAGTTTAGCCAAACAGTGATTTATTAGAATTTCTCACATCAGTATGGACGAGGGTTATTTACAGCTATTCCACTGAAAATTCTACCCTAATGTGGATGGGGACTCAAAAAAGCTGCATCCTGGAGCTCCTAGAGAATCTCTGTCCAGCAGTTACTACCCCTTCTTTAACCTTGGGGATCTTTTAGGTTTCAGGACTGGCACTCGCTCTGGAGACCAGGCTGGCCTCGAACTCACAGAGATCTGCCTGCCTCTGCCTCCCGAGTGCTGGGATCAAAGGTGTGCACCACCAAAGCCTGGCTTTTGAGTTCCTTTTTATGGTGAACATTTGGATGTGTTTAAAGCTTCTAAAGATACCTGGCTAAATTCTCCCCAGTACATTCCTACTGCTCTTCTTTCCGTGGGGATGTTTTAACACTGTGGGCAACACAGGGCCTGATGATCTCTGTTCCCTCCTGGATAATCATGTGACGTGTTCCTCAGGGACGACCTGGCCCAGCTGCCCTTCCTCACCATGTGCATCAAGGAGAGTCTGCGGCTGCACCCTCCGGTCACAGTCATCTCCCGCTGCTGCACCCAAGATATTGGGCTCCCAGATGGCCGGGTCATCCCTAAAGGTGCCCAGGGGACAGGGAAGGAGGGTCCTGGGCACACAGCAGGGCTGTTCAGCAGCAGCAGGCTCACCCTCCTTACCCCACTTCACCACAGGTGTCGTCTGCATCATCAATATTTTCGCGACCCATCACAACCCAACTGTGTGGCCTGACCCTGAGGTGCTGTAAACCCCTCCATCCCTCCATTCTTTTTCCTTACAGTGGTCCAGCAGAAGGAGCCGGTTTAGCCTAGGGAAATCAGCCCTTCCCTTCCCTACCACACACAAGGCTCTTTCTCTGGCTGTGCTGGGAGATGTGGCTCATTGTCTCTTTCAGGTCTATGACCCCTTCCGCTTTGACCCAGAGAATGTCAAGAACAGGTCACCTCTGGCTTTTATTCCCTTCTCTGCTGGGCCCAGGTGAGGCCAGAGGGCTTGAGGTGATGGGACAAAGGTTTGGGGCTGAGGGAGAAGGTGAGAAGTTGGGACAGTCGGGATCTAGGTCTCATTCCTGCATCTTCGCAGGTTAAGTAAAGATGTTCAGTACCGAGACTGGTTAAGTCCAAGAACCACAGCCCTGTGCTGATCGGTTCGTGGGATACAGAATGAGGATAGAAACGAGGGGCCCCAAATAAGTTAGTTCCTCTTGGGGGGCTGCCCCTCCAGCTGGCTGACCAGGTGGCCCCCTGCCTCTCAGACTGACCAGGAAGGGGGGTCCGGTCAGCTTGGGTCCTAGAGTGCCTGACTGGGTCCCAGTGCAGTCCCCACCCCGTCCTTCGTCCTTCCGCAGGAACTGCATAGGACAGACTTTCGCCATGAACGAGATGAAGGTGGCATTGGCGCTGACACTGCTGCGTTTCCGCGTCCTGCCTGACAAGGAGCCCCGCCGGAAGCCGGAGTTGATCCTGCGCGCAGAGGGAGGGCTGTGGCTGGC